TCGGACAAAGTGGACCCCCATCCCATTTCCTTACCTCCACAGCCTACACCTGAGATAAGCAATGGAATCACTAAATCTCATTCATTCCAATTCTGTAACGCATAGTGACGTGTCAGAGTGTCTATAAGGGAGACTCATCTTTACTGATCACATGATTATCACAACTGTGAACACTAGTACATCTGCCACATTGCCATAATTAAGCAATACCTGAGGAGGAAGAATAAAAGCTAATGCTAATCCAATGCTTGCTGACTTGTATATTTGTCATAGTGCCATCTGATCTCCATCCTCTTATTTGATATCCCAGATAACCCACTGAAATCTACAAAAGGAAAAAGGAAAAGAAAAGAAAATGTAAAATGAAATCTACAAAAAAATAGGGGACTTTTTCCTAGCACATAATGTCAGTTCTTTTGAGCAGATAATCTACTATTTATTTAATCTGATTCAGGTTTTTTTCTCCTATTAAATAAATGGACTATTAAACCTCATCTGTTTCTGAGACTAGAAGAGAGTATTCCATATTGTTTGAAACTTAGTGTACATCCAATAAATGTAAGCTACTATTATAGTAGCTCCAAAATTTTCTTCTTTTTAGTGGCTTCTATTCAAGCAGCCAATGAGCTTCACCCTGTCTGTCAAGATTTCCACAGGTACATCATCTGGCAAAGCTGAGACTGAGAAAATGCAGGACTCAGTTAAGAGCCTAATAATTCATAGCATCATGACTGGCATTGCAAGAAAAGCTCTATAATATCTATATATACATAAATTGATAGATATTTAAATTCAACATTGGCTGTGGACCAGGAGCTACATGCAAAGAGCTGAGCTAGGCATTTTGAGAAGTACAATATAAATGTCACCAGAAAAGGGACCAGGTAAACATGGTGATTAAATGGGGAAAATTGCCTTGGAGATGTTCTGGAAGAAATTCGGAGAAAGTTCTATGAAAGCCCATAGGAGGGAGCCCTTCAGGCTGGTAGAGGACAGATGAGGTTAGAGAAGGTTCTCTGAGCAGGGATTGAACTGCTGTGTAAAGATCCTGGTCCTTGAAGTGTTCTCACCTTGGAGAAAAGACATAAACATGATAGCAAGAACAATGCAAGATCCTATCTTCCTTTGGTCCAGTCTCCACAAGGCAGACAGAGCTTGCTTGAGGAATTCTGACAGGAGGATAATTTATCAGTCTTGGAGTAACAAAGGAGATAGAGCTCTGGCTCTGAAGAAAAGCTGACCCAACAAACAAACAAAACAAACACAACTCAGACAATTCAAATCCATAGAAAAGGAGGGGGAGTACCCCTTTTTTTAACTGAGCACCTACTGATTTAATTCTCATGAGAATCCACAGTCTGGTCACAGAGACTTAGAAAAATTAAGCAACTTGCTAAAGGTCATAGGAACCCAGGTCATGGCGACTCTGAAACTTGTACTTGGAGCCCCTGCTACCCATTCAAACCCTTCCCAGCCTTCAAGGCTCTACTTCGATGCTACTCTCCAACTTCAAGCAGAACCTCCCTGGTTATACATTGCTTTTAGTTATTACAAAAGAAGGTGATGGTTGAAGGTGTGTATCCTAAGTATGAAGAAACAGAATAAAGGAAGTTTTGGCACAAACAGAAAATTCTCCCAAACTTAAAGGAATCCCTCAGAAGTAGGAATGAGTAAGTGGAAATTGAGCAGATATGGATGATTAGATGTGCACTGTTGTAGTACTTCAATAATTGGGAGTCCCTACTATGTTTCAGATTTGGAGTTTTTAATTTTGTCTTTTCATTTTAACCAAACAACAATGTACAAACTGAAGATCTTACCAGGTGAGAATCTAATTCTCACTCTTAAGTGATTTCACTTCTGCTACAAAAGAGAAAGAGAGGAAGGAAGGAAGAAAGGAAGGAAGGAAGGAAGGAAGCAAGCAAGCAAGCAAGGAAGCAAGGAAGGAAAGAAGGAAGGAAGGAAGGGAGGGAGGGAGGAAGGGAAGGGAAGGGGAGGGAAGAAAAGAAAGAAATAAAGAAATCCACCAAAGATTAAGTGTTGGAGCAAAAAAAAAAAGGGATGGTAGCAAAAAAGTCTATCATAAACTAGTATATATAAGTAACTGAAAGGTCCTGACTGATGTGAGTTATGAGCCAATGTGTCAGCATTCATTTAAATGTCCTACAAAAATCAAGCAAATACACACAAACATGCATAAAGAATAAGAGTGGCTTCCAAGCCAGGTTGGACAAAATAGAAGTTGGATGTTCAATGAACAGATAAAGGAAAGGTGTGACAAATGCTCCCAATAAATGTAGAGACTGAGGCAGAGGAGCTCAGTAACCTGTAACACATGCACAACTCTGCTGCTCCCTTTTCCTGCCTGTCACAGGAGAGAAATGACTTGGCCTCCTCATTTTTGTTTCCCATTAAAGACCAATGTATCTGTGATAACAGAGCACATGATATGTATGTACCACTTCTACAGTTCACAAAGTATTATATCTCAGAGCATATTTTTTAGTGGGCTTGAACTCTGAGCCTTATGTTCTCACTTTGGCCTTTTCCCACCTCAAGACCAGCACTCTTGAGTAGCAGAAAAAAAAGCCACACTTCCAGCTTTTTACTCATTAATTGGAGATAAGAATCTCAGATTTTTCTGCCCTCAGTGGCTTTGAACTATGATCCTGTATCTCAGCCTCATGAGTAACTAGGATTACAAGTATAAGCTACCAGCATCAAGACCCTGATCCTGAAAATAAGTTTATGAAGTAGATATTACAATTTGAAAAGTAAAGGAGGGGATGACTACAGAGGTAAAGTGACACCCAATGGCAGGGTATGGTATGTGTTGCAGAGGGAAGAGACTAGAAGTAAAAAGCCTCATGCTTTCACAAGATTGGAGTATTGAATTCTCCAAAGTCTCCATATTCAAAGTGATTAAACACAGTGACTTGAAAATACCTGGAAGATACAGTTTCCAGTTGCCTAACTGGAACAAGTGAAATGAATCCGTAGTCCAGTGAATTTGGGATGACAACTGGACTAGCTCAGCATCTCTCTTTTCACGCGATTGACTTACAGGAGTGACTTAGAGTTGCAGAAAGTGCAAGGTTTGCCCAGGCCAACTCTTTAACCAAGGCATTGTAAACATAAAACCATGTTCACTTGCTGACAGCTCTGAGAACACATTCAGAATGTAACTTGATTTTCATTTTTGAACAGGAAAAAAACATGGAGTTCCAACATTCTTAGCCCAAGACTTAAAATGGCACGTCTTCCCTCAAGCCAGGAAGATCTGAATCTGGGATAGCCCCTGTGCAGCAGAATGCTGCCGCAGCCCCTGCAGACCACATTCCAGCTTTTATAGAGGGGATGTCTGAGTCATTTGCTCATCTTACCAAACTTCATACTTTCACCAGCACATATTCTCCACTGGATTTCTTTCTCTCCCCCAAAGGGAAGCTCCCCAGCTCTGAGGAAGGAGCTGAAAACATCCCTGATGATAGGAAGACTAGGGGAAAGAAAGTTACAAATTAGTGGCATTGACCACACTTTGGGGCTCTGAGCATGCTCTCCACACTAGGCAAACTTTACATGGCTTATTTTTACCACCATGTTATTAGCATAGACTAGTCATTAATAACTTGTAATCTACCAGTGCTAACTCACTTAACATTTGGAGGGAAAAAAAAACAAAAAAAGGAGAACTCTTTTGCCATAAGGGGGAGCTTTTGAGTTCCACAAAGGGGGAGGGAAGGAGGATATATTACATATATGTCCCAGTTTAGAACCAGAGCTACAAAACAGTTAATGATCCAGCCCTTCCCTGTAACTGACAATGTCAGAGGACCTAAGTAGGTTGAACTTAGGTACATTAATGTCTTCCTCTCCTTTATATACAATTACAAATTGATTTCTAACAACAATATTTTTTCAGAGTCTGTTTGGCTGGGTCCAGGCAGCTTCTAAAATACAGATGAGCTGGAAAAATGGTTTGTTGTTTTGTTTTGTTTTCCTGCCTGGACTATATTCTAAGGACTTTGTAAAGAACCTTTGGTTTAGCTGAAGGCTGAAGCTGGCAGCCCCAGAGCTCAAGGTGGAGAAGAGACCCTTCAACATCGCCTAACTTTAAAGAAAATTTGGGGAGGGAAAAGACTAATGGGAAAAAAGGACAGGGGGTATCAGACAGAATAGAAAGAAACGTGGCAAGAATAGGGAGAGGAATAGAGAGGAGGAAGAAAGAGACCAGGGGTGAGTGAAGAAAATGAGCGAGGGAGAGGGAGAGAGAGAAAGAGAGAGAGAGAGAGAGAGAGAGAATTGAGAATCAAGTTTCAAGACTTTCTCTGTGTACTATAGGAGAGGATGTAGGTTGACCAGCAAAGTGTAAAGAGGATCTTGAGAGAAGAGAGAGGTTTTTTTTTAATTCCACGAGAGAAAACAAACAAATAAATACAGGAGAGGAGAAGTGGGAGGGGGTGCCGTGAAGAAGGAACAAAACAAAACAAAACCAGGAATGTGTGTGTTTTTTGTTTTGTGTTTTGTTGGGTTGTTTTTTTTTTTTTGAGCAGGAATGAGTCGAGCTGGGAGGACCGTAAGGGGGTGTGTACAGAATTTCATTAAATTGTTACTTTAAGATTGTCTTCTCAAAAAAAAAAAAAATAGAGGGGGTGGAGAAGCCGGAGCGAAGGAGAGGAGGCAAACGAGAAAGTGGAGGAAGGCTGGGTAGCTCGGCCTCCAACTGATTGATTAGTCACGATCCCCGCCGTTTTAACAGGGACTCATTCAATTGCGAAGGTGGAGCGCTCGGGAGCAGATTAGCATACGCTTGTTTACCCTTCTTCTGAGGGATTCCCCCCCCCTCTTTCCTTTCATTTTGTGTCGAGGGGAGGGGAAGGGAAGGGGGGGGGACACGGGCTTGGGGAGGGAAGGGGGGGCAGAGAAGAGGGCTGTGGCTTGTGTTATAAAGGGACTCAAAAAATAAATAAATTAGAGCATCTTTGGGGGGGGTGGAGGGAATGAGCGGATCGGTGTCTTAGAGGCGCTTTTTTTTTAAGAGCAAGCAATCCTATAATTTTTTTTTAATGAAATAACCCAAGGAGGAAGGCAACCAGCTGTTTGTTAGAGAGGTGTGTGCAAGGGGGTGGGGGGGAGATAAGGCAGATAAAGGAGCGGGGAGAAGATAAATTGTCAACCCGGAGGAGTTGGACGGTATTTTTTTTTTGTCAAAGGTGGGGGGAGTGGAGCACACACCTTGAGGAGGAAAGCGAGAAAGAGAAGGGGAAGGGAGAGAAGAAGAAAAAGAAGAAGAAGAAGAAGAAAATAAAGAACCAGTGGAAAAGGAGAAGGAGGAGAGGGGGGGTGCTCGCCCAAGAAGGGGGGTGAAGAAGCGGAGAAAAGTCGAGGCGCCCGGGGCTCCCAAAGCTGGCAGCTGTGGGCGGCGGTGTCGGGGCGCAGGGGGG